TTGTCTATGTGTTGTCTATGTATTATGTATTATTAAATGTATATGACTATGTGTTTAGTGTATGTATGCATGCTGTCCTCAATGGAAGTTTTGATGCAACAAACATCTTATCTTATCTTATCCCAATAGGAGCAAACAGTAAGACATGGGCTATACTATATACCGGAAAACACTGGAAAACACTGAAAAACACTGGAAAACTACCGGAAAACTACCGGAAAACACCATGTTATACTGAATAGCGGAAAACACTGAAAAAACACTAAATACCGGAAAACTCTAAATACCGGAAAACATCCTAAATAGGTAACCCACCGCTGGTCCTCTGGAAAACACCTGAAAAACCTAACCCTAGCCCTAACAATAACCCTAACTCTCCGCAAACAGAGAACCAGGCTCTTTGTTACCTATTTAGGGTGTTTTCCGGTATTTAGTGGTTTTCCGGTATTCAGTATAACATGGTGTTTTCTGGTAGTTTTCCGATTGTTTTCCGGTATTTTCTAGTGTTTTCCGGTATATAGTATTGCCGGTAAGACATTAAACCCCATTACATTTCATTTCTTTTCTTACAAAAGAATCAAAATAATGTGTTATCCATGCCTTGCCATCGAAAATCAAACACATAATGAAACATTTCACTATTCAGATCACAAGATAAAATTAGCCTATTCCATCCACCAAACAGCTAACTTCTATTTTCTCATAAGAGAAATTGCGTGATATCAAACAATAATTAATTTAATGGTTACTCAATTGTCAATAAATCATTCGAAATTTCATCATGGACGTAATCTATTTCAGACGATCTTTTAAAGACTAAATATAGGTGAATAAATGTTCTATCCTGAATTGATCACCATATTTCACGATAATAATTTCACAAACTATTGAATAACATTAAGCTATTATACTTTAATCAATATGGTTAATGTATTTTAATGTTCAGATGTAATTAAAAATACAATTTAACATTCTTGTATTATTATACTTTAATCAATATCGTTAATGTATTTTAATGTTCAGATGCAATTAAAAATACAATTTAACGTCCTTGTATTTCATATTAATAGATACATACATTCTCATAAAAGGATTTTATAGGGTTGTTATTTCCAATAAAATGAAGTGAAATGAAATGGGGTTTAATGTCCTACAGTGAGCTATGAGGGAAATTTTGCCTGGGCAGTGACACTATGGCCTCGAATGGACGTTAAACCCCTTCTCTCTCTATCTTTCTCCCTATCTCTCTATTGGGCGCTAGAGATATGGTATTATCATGGAAACATAGACACCACACCTGATATGACACCTGTTTTTGTACTAATCATCAATCATATACCTGCAGGGAATTAGTGAGCAGGTAGAGATAATTAGTTGCTATTAGACAGAAGAGATTATAGCAGCTCAGACAATTAGTTGCTGTTTGACAGAAGAGATTATAAAATATGTAGCGGTGTGGTAGTAATTGACTATTCACGCTAATGGCCGACCATTGTAGAGGAAATGGTATTAATCAGATATAACTGAACAAATACGATAACAGGAAATCAATGTTGGCATCTTGGAATTGTGATGGCATATTAAGAACCAAAGTCTGTCAAGCAATGTGCAATTGTCCAAGGAACATCAATGCCGGCATCTTGGAATTATGATGCCCTATCAAGAACCAAAGTATGTCAAAAGAACATCAATGCCGGCATCTTGAAATTGTGATGCCATATCAAGAACAAAAGTCTGTCAAGCCATACGCAATTGTCCAAGGAATAAGCATGACCAGTTTCAAGTTGATAAAGTTACAAAGTTGTAATTCTGGCAAAACAAACTAGGAGGAATGGTTGTTCCAGGAATTATTAAGTGATGTTTAATGGTGAAGAGCAAGACATTAAGTAATATAGTAATACTGCACAAGGACACTATTACGAGTGTTACATCAATATAAAATATCACGCAATCTCTTGCTTGAGGAGCCATGGTGGCTAAGTGAGTAAGTTCTTCAGGATTTTCAGATATGGTTTCCCCATGTCAGAGGTGTACGACTGAGTTAATTAATGTCTAATTAATAATTTATATAACATTTAAGGTCTAAAGAAAGACCTGCAATAGGCAGATTTAGCTCTTGCATATATAATGCATGTTTAATACAAGATAGTCCAGCTGGTCCTAGATTATGGAATGAACTTCCACAACAGGTCAAGAATCAATTTAAATCTGCACTAAAGACTTTCCTGTTTCGATAGTTTTACCAGTAGAGCCATTACTAAAATCGTTTTGAGCATGTATCAACATGGAGAGAAGACGCTATATAAAACCTCATTATTATTATTATTTATATGACCAGGGCTAGAAACTCATGCGAATCTCTGAATCTAATTCGCGCAATGATTCTCGCAAGAGCTTACTCTGTGAATCTACAAGAATTCGCATAAATTTTTGTAAAAAAGAACCAAAAAAAATTCTATTCTGTCACTGTCACGGTCAGCACTTGGTTTTTTGTTCACTTTTGTTTGTGGGTACATTAATTATATTCCTTTATTATAATACTTTGTGCAGTTATTAATTAAGATTCGGAGGATTCGCGCAGATTGCATATCTGAGAATCCTCTTAGACTCTCGCAAAAAATGACGAATTTCTAGCCCTGATGACTGGATTTTACATGAGTTGTGCGTATGCTGCATTATCTAAATCCGAGATAAACAAAAAATACAAGATTTCTGGTATAATGTAAACTTACAGCTACTCTTGACCTCTAGCGGGTGTTAAAAAAAACCATACGGAACATAAGCCAGAGAGTGTTAAAAACAACGCGGAACTTGAGAGTTAAGTTAACAATTTGTATCTACATCATACAAATGTTACAATACGTCCTTGTGTCTGCTTAAATCTAACGGAAAACCCAAGAATCACAATCAACAAACAATAAATACTAGAGGTTTACTGTCTTTATATACAAATATACTGATTGTAGGTTTGTTTTACCAGAGTCCTACACAAGTTTTATACACAGATACTACAGTAACACTAGACTTGATATACAGGTCCTATGTAACAATATTTGTACTAAAATAACAGTAGACTTGCTATACAGGTCCAATATGTAGTAATATTTGTACTAAAATAACACTGGACTTGTAACAGGGCCTATGTAATAATATTTGTACTAAAATAACACTGGGCTTGTTACAGGGCCTACATGTAATAATATTTGTACTAAAATAACACTACGCTTGTAACAGGGCAATAAATTTACTTTGGTACTAAAATAGCACTGGACTTGCTACAGAGTCTATATGTAATAATATTTGTACTAATAACACTGGACTTGCTACAGGGCCTATACTTAAATAACAGCCGACTTGTTACAGGACCTTTATGTAGTAATAGTTGTACTATATGTAATAATATTTGTACAATATGTAATTTTTGTACTAAAATAATAACTGACTTGTTACAGAAATGAGGGGGTGGAGGTGAATGGTAAACACATGCACATTGAATCAGAAGGTCTAGCATTGAGTCATATGGTATGGTTTCAATTCCCCACTTGTATGTGACAAGGAGTAGGGTCGCTTCATGGGTTTTCTCCAGAACCTCTGTCGTAAATGAACTTTCGCCCCCTCATCCGCAATAACATACTCCATCTTTCATAAAAAAAACCCCAGATCCCCCACATAGGCGTAGTCTGGCCTTTGAAAACCGTACATACCGAGGCATATAAACTGAATACAGATTGATCTAGTGAGATAATTTTAAACTGTTATAATAGTACTCATCGAATACAGATTGATCTAGATTGAGCTGATTTTCAACTGTTATAATAGTACTCACTGAATACAGATTGATCTAGATTGAGTTGATTTTAAACCGTTATACTAGTACTCATCGAATACAGATTGATCTAGATTGAGTTGATTTTAAACTGTTATAATAGTACTCACTGAATACAGATTAATCTATTAACTAAACTGAGTTGATTTTAAACTGTTATACTAGTACTCACTGAATACCGATTGATCTATTAACTTGACTGAGCTGGTGTTATACTAGCACTCAATGAAAACAGAATGATCTAGACCGAGTCGATATTAAACTGTTATACTAGTACTCACTGAATATAGATTGATCTGTTAACTGTATTTAGTTGATTTTAAACTGTTATACTAGTACTCACTGAATACAGATTGATTATTAACTATAGACTAAGTTGATTTTAAACTGTTATACTAGTACTCACTGAATACAGATTGATTATTAACTATAGACTAAGTTGATTTTAAACTGTTAAACTAGAACTCAATGAATACAGATTGCAATCTACCAACCAGTGAGATAATTTATACCAGTACTCAATGAATACAGATTGTAGGTAACAATGTTCATGTTCAGATCTTCAGGACTTAATAATCCCTCAGTGCATGGTATGTCATGGCTCAGATATATGTCAAATAAATTCTAACATATATGCCACAGAACCAAAACTTTCCTGGAGCTGCCCCTCCATCTCCTTAAGCGCCCTAAGTTTGCTCTGCAGGCCCTTCTTCAGAGTCCCCAGCACGCCTCTAGGACCGTCTGGTTAATTAGTGAGCCAGCACCTTACTCACTGAGCCACTGTGGCTACCTTTTAAGATCAAGATCAGCAATTAAAATATAAAAAAATGGACAGAACAATAAATGGCATCATTTAACAAGCTACAAAATTTTCTCTTAAATCGACAGTTACTGACAAAAAATAATGTACTTAGAAACAGAAAAAAATATATTGAAAACAGGAAAAGTGTTTGTTCTACTGAATAGAGAAGAACGTGGATGAGTTGTGTAGTAATCCACGGCCATTGTCACTCAATCAGATAAACAAACAAACTATCTAAATGAACAAAAGTCGCACTATTTTATGAGTTCAAGTTTGTCTGTTCGTTTTGTTTAAGCTTTGAACCTGATGTCACGAGATTTTCTCACTGGGGTTTAAAAAATGTAAAAACGTAATAAATATACTGCTGCTTACCTCCAACTGAATACCAAAGAGGTCAGCTGATCGTTCTCGTTCAGGATATGTGGTGGACGTTTCCGTCGAACTGTCGCTAAAACTGCTACAGCTATCGTCAGCCATCAACACATTATAATAGTATAATAATCCAACTTTAATATCTGAAAATATAAAAAAAACTTTAATCATATTTAATAATCCAATTTTAATATCTGGAAAAAAAAACTTGAATAAGATTTAATATTCCAACTTTATTATCTGAAAATATAAAAAAAACTTTAATTAGATTTAATATCCAACTTTAATATCTGAAAATATATAAAAAAAACTTTAATAAGATTTAATAATCCAACTTTAATATCTGAAAATATAAAAAAAAACTTTAATTAGATTTAATAATAATCCAACTTTAATATCTGAAAATGTAAAAAAAAAACTTTAATTAGATTTAATAATCCAACTTTAATATCTGAAAATATATAAAAAAAACTTTAATTAGATTTAATAATCCAACTTTAATATAAAAATATAAAAAAAAACTTTAATCATATTTCAACTTTAATATCTGAAAATGTGAAAAAAACTTTAATCACATAAATAATTCAACTTTAATATCTGAAAATATAAAAAAAAAACTTAAACATTATATCAGAATCCAAATTTAATATCTGAAAATGTAAAAAAAACTTTAATCATATTTAATAATCCAACTTTAATATCTGAAAATATAAAAAAAAAACACCCTTTAATAGATATAAACTGTTTTTAATTATATTTAATAATCCAACTTCAACAATGGAAAATACAGAACTGAGCAATAATCCAACAAGTTGAGATAAAAATAACTCCATAATAATCCAAGTGAAAATATAAAAAAAAAACCCACTTTAATTCCATCTGTATCAATAGAACTGAAAAAGAAAGACTGGTTTGGGTCAGCCACATATGAATCTATGCATAATCCAAGCTCAAAAATTATCTAATGTTGCTATTTTAAATTCTTAATTACAGGTTAAATAATCAATTTGTGTGGATTAGCTATAAGTTTTGGGAAATTAGATTCGCTATAATCAATTAATATTTCATTTAAACGAATTAATATTTCTGTTTTAAAGAGTTAATATTTCATTTCAACGAGTTAATATTTTGTTTAAATGAGTTATTATTTCGTTTAAACGATTTAATATTTTGTTTAAATGAGTTAATATTTTATTTGAAAGAATTAATATTTTGTTTAAACAAATTAATATTTTGTTTAAACGAATTAATATTTTGTTTAAACGAATTAATATTTTGTTTAAACGAATTAATATTTTGTTTAAAAGAATTAATATTTTGTTTAAAAGAGTTAATTTAAACAAATTAATATTTCGTTTAAACAAAATATTAATTCGTTTAAACAGATTAATATTTCATTTAAACAAGTTAAAATTTCATTTAAACAAATTAATATTTCGTTTAAACAAATTAATATTTCATTTGAACAAATTAATATTTCATTTACATAAGAGTGAAATCGAACAAGGAAAAAAATTATATAAGAATGGAATGGTGCACTTAAGGGGCTCCCTACGACAGGAAAAGGTGACATTCATTGATAACCTTCCAATATTTCTAAGATCTCTATAAAAGGACATTGTTCACAGATCTCATTCACTACTTGAGACTAATATAGTTTTTAATTTCCTAGGTTATGTCAATTAATGATATAAATAGAATCTGACTTGATGAAATTACGAACCCCAGGAAATCATGGCAAGAGGTAGTATAGTGTTTCAAGTCGAGTCAACAACTACTTTACTTTCAAAATATTTAATATTTGTATAATGACAATGAGAGAGAGAGAGAGAGAGAGAGAGAGAGAGAGAGAGTTTTACGCCCACTCTTCACAAACAAGGTCATTTTGGGACTAATATATGGTTCAATTTTATATCAATAATTTGCTTGCGTGTAGGGGTCTTTAGCAGTGGAAGGAAACCAGAGGACCCAGAGAAAACATGCGAGGTTGCACGTACAACCGGGGAATCGAAACCACGTCAGTTGACTCAATGAGAGATCTTATGATACAACGCGTACAGCAATAACCATTCGGCCATCCAACCACACAATATGTGTAGAATGAATGAATGAATAAATACAATGAAGACTGGTGTATATTCCACACAGTGTGCTGTTTTTTGTCACACTATGGAATGGCAACTATTATAGTAGAATGAACACAAATATATACTATATGGAACAATGAACACAATAATATATATGAATGAATGAATGAAATAGAGTTTAATGTTCAACTTTTCTGAAAAGAAAAGAAATAGCCATGTGCATTCCTTTAACCGAAAAAACAAACTGCTTTTATTTAACCAAATAAGCAAACAGCTTCAGCAAATTATTGACTATTTCAATACAATTTTTTGTTATTACATGTTACAATGTAACAGGAAATTTACAAATAATAAAAAAAATCAACTTTTTTAAAAGACACAATGACAAAATAAGCAGAGAGCTCCGCAACACATCCTTTCCATGTGACTGGCCATGTTCATGAAGCAACGACTGCAAGTTTTACAACATCTGGACGTTGCTAGATTACTTCACAATTCCTGAACTTATGCTACGTTATCTACAGACAAATGAACAATAGCGTCCAATAAGAAGTTGTGACATCGCGGCCTCCGCGGAAACCTTGACATTGAACGAACCTTGAACTTTGCAACTCGATTATCACAGCTTGAAAGCGCGAGACTTGGTATTCACGATGATCGAGGAATCTGATAGGCTCACAAGCCAAAATATGCAGGGTATTACGTGGAGGGCTTGATAAGATGTACGTAGTTAAAGCGAGATCAATATTGGGTATTGAAAAATGTCCTACTGTTTTGCTCCAACTGGGCTAATGAAGACAGGCATACATAATATAGTGTGCTGTGAGGGAAATTTTGCCTGGACAGTGGCACTAAGGCCTACTCTTGTATTGAATTCTATCTGCCAAGGGATCTTTTGCATGTGTTTTCTATCTATATAAATTACTTTTTAATTATTTAATTATTTTCTATTTGTTTTCTATCTATATAAATTACTTTTTAATTACCGGGTATTTTTGTGTTTTCTATCTATATAAATTACCTGGTGTTTTTTGTTTTCTATCTATATAAATTACATTTTTTTTTCGATATTGATTTTATGGAGAAATCTAGACTGTATAGTGTATATGCTGTAGTCAAAATGGGATGGTACCTAAGTAACAATGTCACAGTCCAGCACAATGCATCCTGGTTACTGCAAAATATGGATACGAGCAAATTAATCTAAACGATCAGCTGACAATCCCTGTACGGTGGCTAAGTGAATAAGATGCTGGTTCGTTAGTCGGGAGGTCGCGGGTTCAATCCCCGTGTTAGGCGAGAAAGTTCATCAGGATTTTTCGGCGTGGTTTTCCTTTGTCAGTGGTGCAGGATGGAAGGCCTGACAAGGATAGCCGTCTAGTCATTCAGATGGGATGATAAAGCGAGGGCCTGTGTACACCTTGGCGTGCACATAAAAGATCCCTTGGCAGTTGGAATTCAATATAAGAGTAGGCTTTAGCGCCGATGTGCAACCAAAATTTCCCTCATAGCACACTGTATGGCGTATGCCCGTATTCATTAGCCCAGTCAGAGCTGAACAGTAGGACACCCCATTTCATTTTATTTACTGTACAACCCCGGTAAGTGAGCTACCAACCCAGGTAGTAAATTTGCCAAACCCACTAAAAGACCAACCCCGGTAACCCCACCAATTTGAGAAAATGGTAACCTCGCCCGGTAAGTGAGCTACCAACCCAGGTAGTAAATTTGCCAATCCCGCTAAGAGGTCAACTTTAACCCCACCAATTTGCGACAACGGTAACCCCACCGAGGTGCAGAAATAGTATGAATAAAAGCCTGTCACGTGAGTCCAATCAGTCTGAAGAGTTCAATAGATACAAAACTAGTCACTAATATCCAGGATATAACAGACCCCAAGTTCACAATAGATAAAAAAATACTAGTCACTGATATCCAGGATATAACCAGGTCTTCATAACCACTCTTATCTTTTATAATTATTTATAGTTACCATCATGGCGTGAAATAATGCTTCCTTTAATTACATGCCAGGAAGCATAACTAATGAGGAAAGTGAGCTTACATGCATTATGAAGACGTGTGATATACTATTCATCTCCCTGGGGTATTAAACGTTAAATATTGTTAATAACATGTTCTGTGTAGGTGTGGTATATCACTTATTACACAGAAAAGACTACCGGTATTATCATCCCTGTGTCATATATCTTTGATAGTAAATGCAGGAAGACAACACTACAAACAAGAAAAAGTTAAATAAATTAAGCTCCAAAACATAAAGGGAGCTGCGGTGGCTCTGTGAGTAAGACACTGGCTTTCAAACACGGTTTCCCCTTGTCAGTGTTGCTGCACGGAGGGGCTGGAAAGGACAGTGTCTAGTCATTTGGATTGTATGCAAAACCAAGATCGTGTGTACACATTGACGTGGACACAAAAGAACCCTTGACAGTTGGAATTCGAAATAAGTATAGGCCGTAGCGCCACTGCCTGGGCAAAATTTCCCTCCTAGCAGAAAAGTAAGATGTTACACCCCATTTCATATCATTTCATTTCTGCCGTGTTCCAATCATTACCTGGGTCTACATTTCAGGAATTTTCACACATTAACCCTAACCCTTACACTAAACCTCTGATGGAATGAAAAACTGAGGTCCAGCCACCCATTAACCTCAGATCCACCCCAAACCTCAGATCCACTCAACCCCTAACCTCAGATATACCTACCCCTTAACCCCAGATCCATTGACTTAACCCCAAACCCACACACCCCCTAACCTTGTATCCATCCCCTTACCTCATATCCATCCCCTAACCTCGTATCCACCCACCCCCTAACCTCAGATATACCTACCCCTTAACCCCAGATCCACTGACATAACCCCAAACCCACACACCCCATAACCTCGTATCCATCCCCTAACAACATCCCCATCCCCTAACCTCGTATACATCCCCTAACCTCATATCCATCCCCTAACCACTTCTCCATCCCTTAACCTCATATCCATCCCCCTAACCTCATATCCATCCCCCTAACCTCATATCCACCCCCT